TATATATATATTATTTCTTAATACATTTAAATGTGGTAGAAATAATCAGGAACTGAAAGAATACATGTTATATTCATCATGGTAGTTTTCAGAGATGTTAATAAGTGAAACTGGTGATGAGTACAAATAACACTCATTAGAATATTTATACTAAGTATGTACATGTTTATATGGGTATATATGTATGTATATGAATACACACACACAAGAGGATTTCAGAACTTCATAAAAGTGAAATTGAAAGATAAAAATAAAAAATTTAAATTGATTTTCTCAACATAAGCTCCATCAAGTTTAAGATACTTTTGTAAGTGGCGATACTAGCCATTTAGTTTATCCTTAAAGAGATGAGTATCTTGGGAATTTAACCACTTTAATTTGTTCTTTTTTACATTATGCACTGAAGAGAAATGGTTGTCCTAAATATTTTCTAAGATTAGAATACAAGAAGTCAAAAAGTGCCAAATCAGGACTATGGGGAGGCTAATGATTTCCCATGAAAACTTCAACAAAATCCCCCTTTTTTGATGAGAGAAGTGAGCAGGAACATTGTTATGGTGGAGAGGAACTCTCTGATAAAGCTTTCCTAGGTGTTTTTTTGCTAAAGCTTTGGGTAAATTTCTCAAAACACTCTTATAACAAGATGAGTTGTTATCATTGTTTGTACCTCCAGAAAGCCAACAAACAAAATACCTTGAGAATACCAAGAAACAGTTTCCATGATGTTTGCTCTTGACTGGCCCACTTTTGTTTTGACTGGACCCATTTCACCTCTTGGTAGCTATTGCTTTGATTGAGCTCTGTCTTTGGGATCATGCTGGTAAAGCTGTTTCATCACCTATCACAAGTCTTCCAAGAAATGTTTCAGGATTTTGATCCAACTTGTTTAAAATTTTGATTGAAACCTTTGCTCTTGTCTGTGGCTAATTTGAGTACAATAGATTTGGCACTCATTGAGTGAAAAGTTTGCTCAACATCAAATTTTCAGTAAGAATTGTGTAAGCTGAATCAATTGAGATGTCAGTAGTGTTGGTTATTGTTTCTTCTGTTAACCATTGGTATGCTTCATTTAGGGCACGAACAAGATAATTTTTGTCCTTGCAGATTCATATGGATGGTCTGCTACTGTGGGCTTCATCTTCAGTATTCTCTCATTCTTTCTTAAAATGTGTTATTCCTTTGTAAACCCATGATTTCTTTTGGGCATTGTCTCTTTAAACACATTGTAAAACATCAAGAATTTCACCTTTTTTCCACTCAAGTTTTTCCATAAATTTAATGTTTGTTCTTGGTTTCATTTTGGCAGAATTCATGTTGCTGTTATAGGGGCACTTTTCAAACTGATTTTTTATCCTTCTAATACCTCAAACTAGATCCTATTCAGACATATTAAGTTAGTATGAGTTTATTTTGGCAAAAAAATCTTTTAAAATTAATGTGTATTTTTTATAATATGCATTTTCATAAACATTTGGAAAATTCTGCTGTTTGGGTCTGTGTGCATGTGTATGTGTGTTTGTGTCTATACACTAAGAAATAAAGCCATAAAAACAAAATAAGTGACTTGGAGGTTAAAATCTAAAAATGATGGTCCTGAAGAAAACATTTATAATTTCTTATTTTTCTTTTCTCTCCTTTCACCTCCCCTTTCCTCACTCTCTTATATTTTGAATTTAATAATTTTCATTTTGAAAGATTTGATTTATGTTACTGTTTCCATAGTTATAAAGGTTTTCAAATCTATTCCTTTTAACATTTTTATAATGTATACTCACATTAATTAACCAAAATGTATGTATACCTTACCTTAATAATAAAATGTCACTATTGCCTGAAATGGTATTCCAACTAAGCTTAAGCATGTCTCCTAGGACCATATCTCTGAGGGGACAGGTTGAAAAGTAGAAGTGTTTGAACATTTCTAAACAATGCAATAATTTTCTCCAAAATGATTTAATGGGTGCAATTACTTTGGAGAAAATATCTCCTCGGGAGGATGTGAGAGCTTCTGCTTCCTCACATCTTTGCCAACAATAGATATTATCAGTACTTTGATTTGACAACAATGATGGTTAAGAAAAATGTTAAACAGAATCGTTCATGGTAGAAAACTTGTTTTTGTTCGAAAGGGAATTCTAAAATTTTATGTTAGGTTTGATATTGATATTTTAGAAAAATATTAAGTAAAAAAAATCTCCCTCCATTTCCAGTTGGATACACGTGTATTTTAATAATATATATTTATATTAAAAAGTGATGAAAGGGACCATTCTTGTCTTGTTCCATATCTTGGCAAAAAGGCATTCAATTTTTCTTTGTTTACTATGGTATTAGCTGTGGTTGCCATATATGGCCTTTGTCGTTTCGTGGTTTGCTCTTCACATAACCAATTTGTTGTGAGTTTTTATCATGCAAGGATGTTGAATTTTATCGAATAACTTCAGCAACTTTTGCAATAGTCATATGATTTTTGTCCTGATTTTGCTGATGTGATTAATCACCCTTATGAATATGCATATTTTGAACTATTCTTGCATCCCTGGGATAAATACCAATTGATCATAATGAATGATATTTTCAATGTATTGTCAAATTAGGGACAGTAATAATTGGTGTACAAATTTTGCATCTATTTTCAACAGATATATTGGTCTGTAGTTTTCTATTTTTTTGTTTGTTTATTCTTGTCTGGCATTAGGCTAATGCTGGCCTCATAAAACAGATTTGGATGTATTCTTTCTCTTCAGTTGTTTGGAATAATTTGATAAGAATGGTATTCTTTTTAAATGTTTGGTAGAATTCAGCAGTGAAGCAGCAGTTTGAAACTTGTTTTTTTAATGGGAGACTTTTTAATGATCTAATTAGTACTGATCTGTTCGTGTTTTTATTTCTTCATGCTTCAATCTTTCTAGATTGCATGTGTGTAGAAATTTAACCATTTGTTCTAAGTTTTCCAATTATTTGATGTATAGTTATAATAGTCCCTAATAATCCTTTGTATTTCTGTTTTATCACTTGTAATGTCTTCTTTTTTGTAAGTGGTTTTATATGTGGATCTTTCTTCTTAGTTAGTTCAGCTGATGATTTGTCAATTTTGTTTAACTTTTCAGCAAATTATTGTGTCATTTTGTTTTTCCTTTGTATTTTTTTAGTCTTTCTATAGTTCAGTTCTGTTCTGATAGTAATTATTTCCTTCTACTAATTTTGGATTTTGTTTTTGCTTTCCTATCTCCTGGAGATGCATAATCAGGTTGTTTATCTGATATCATTCTATTTCTATTCTAATTCTATTCATTGTTTTTAATGTAGGTCTTTATTGCTATAAATATTTATCTTAGTACTGGTTTTGTTATATTTTAAATATGTGGTATGTTGTGTTTTCATTTTGTTTCAACATATTTTATATTTTTATTTTTTTATTTCTATATTACCCATTGGTTGCTCTGAAATATATTTAATTTTTATGATTCATATCTATATTCAAAACACAAGCTTTATTTTAAATTCACCTGTAATAATTTATATCTCTTTTGGTTTCTGAATCATGTCTTCTCTATGTAGTTTAGTATTTAAGCCAGGTTGGTTGTTCATTCCCTAGAGTTCCCAGATAACTACACTTTCATAAACGTAATATTAAAGATCTGTTATAATATTTCAAAATGTAAAATGTAAACAATTGAGTTAATAAACCCATCTATTGCAGGTAATTAATTTCTGTTGCTTTTGGCTATTTTTTTCATACGGTGTAATAAAATTTGCATAATTTTGCTGCTTAGAAGCCATTTTGACAAGCATATTTATAGCTAATTAAATTAATGAGAAATTATTTTTACTATTGATAGACTACTTACCTATACCATAAGCTTTAGTTTAACAAATTGTACAAAAAACTATGTTCGTATTACGTACATGTAGGGATTATAAGTAGATAAATACTTTGAGATGAGCCTTGTCTTTTATCTCATGTTTCTTCTTAACCTATGAGTACTGGAGTTGAGTGACTGTGCTTCATAAACTGCTTTCTCTGAGATTCATTCCCTCAACAACTCCAGTTTAAGCAGAAGATTGTTGTCATCTTTATTTGAAGTACAGCTCAATATTATCTGCAGAAGCCACAAACATACCACTATATCATAAAAGCTGCATGAAAAAATATTTGAAAATGGTTATGGCATGATTTAAAGTCGTTTATTGGTTTTATCTTGGCTTACTCCTGAAGAAAATGAAAATCTTTTGTGAACATTAAGAATGAAAACAGTATGTTTGATTTTAATGGAAACCATATTACCTTTTAGAATTATATTTAAAAATTTAGTAAATTAACTGTTTATGCTCACTTTTTCTTCTCATCATTAACTAGGTATAAGGCCTGAAATGAAATTCATTCTCATTAGTCTTTCACTGACAGACTAGTTTTATCAACTGCAAGCTAGGCTTGTATGCAATACATCAGTATATGTGAATTTGACATTTTCATCACAAGGTATGACCCCTGTTGAAATGTGTCTACCTGAATCACAGAAACTATATACTAAAATTACAGTGAGAGCTCTGATTCTGAGAGTTCACTAGAGAGATAATTAAATTAAACTTGTTCACCTTCAAAAAGGAAATTCTCTTAACATTTAAAATTAATGGCAATAATGAAAGAATACAACTCAGTTTACTTGACATCTTGATAAGAATGATAAATTAATGCTGTTTTCTTGGTGGGGGGAGGGAATTAAAATTGTAGTGTGATGAGACAAGTATCTTATGAGCACTTGTTCTTTTTCTAAACAGCTGAAGAATTTTTTAACACTCAGTTTCACCAAGCTTTATTTTGTTTACCGCCTAATATATGCCAGGGCTACAAAACTCTTGGAGATATAAGTAAGAGTGAAATCTGTCCCTGTCTTCCTAGAGCTCATAGTTGGTCATGGTAAATATTTAAACAAGTATTAATTATGTTTACTCTGAGATGGAATGTGAAATGTGGACATGTGCTGGAGCTGCCATTTAGTCTTTTTTTTTTTTTTTTAAAAAAAACTGTTAATTTATTGATTCAAAGTTGTTTTCTTTTTTTTCTTAAGAAAAAAACAACAATCCTCAATACATGCAGTTCAGGGTTAAATATCACATTTGTAGCACATTGTTGAGTCTCAACACGAAAATATGCATCACCTGTATAATCCCATCACATATTTTTCCAGCCTCTACAATATCTAGTTGGGGGTGTTTTCATTTACACATCCACATAGCTCAGAAGCATGTTATTACTGGTTGATCTGGCCCCATGCTTCCCTGCCACGTCCCCTGCCCTGGTCTCCACCTTGGGGTTAGTTTTTCCTAAAGGCAGGATGTTACTCAGTCTTAATTTATTAAGGTCAGTGACAAACTTTGGCTTCTTGTGTGCTCATGTGGCCCCTGCTTTTGCTTTCGGAAGGGTTTATATTGAAACGACTGTGACTCTGATCAATTAATATCCCCTCATTTATTTGTAGGAAGTAAGTTTGCTTGTTCCTGTGGGTGCTCACACAGCAACACAGGTTCCTAATCATGTAATCTGAACTGGCATTAAAGGAAACTGTTAACTGGGCTCTTAGATCTATTTCAATTCATATAAAAAAATTCTTCCAGTTGTTGCTTGTGTCTCAAAGTAGTTCTGCTTCCATCCTTATCAACAGAGCACCTGGGAGAACCTAAGTCATTTCCCTGAGTAGGCACGGACCGTGAGCCCCACGGCACCCAGCTCTCTCTGGGACTCAGCATCTGACTCGAGAGCACCACCTTTCAGTCCACTGGGACCAATCCAAGGGGCAGCAACCTCCCCAGGGTGCATTCCAGAACATAAACTTGGTGGCTTCTAATTGATCCCCTCAAGAAGTCCATTTCCTCCTCAAGAGCTACCTTTAGGCGGTTTTTCTTAGTCTTGTGAGAGTTGATTATTATAATTTAAGAATTTTGCAAGTTGGTTTGGGAGCTTGAAACTGGTCACGGTGGGAATAGTCACATTTTGGAAGTTGATACATGCTGAAAATGACCTCCTTATATTCCTCCCCAGTTACTTTTCCAGAACACCACCAGGTATACCAAGTTGGCCTTAAAATAGTGGCCTGGTCAAGATAATACTGAGGCATTCATTCAAATAAATATTCTCACAGTATTTTTTAGTAATAATTTACTGAGGCTATTGAGTTTTAGGTATGAAATGGATAGAAAGATATATGTCCTTGATAATATTAAGCTTTTCTATTCACTAAGGAATTTGGCACTTTTCCAGACATTCTTACTCCATTGCAAATAATAATAAAGTAATGCTGCTAAACATAATTAATCTCCTAAAAGGCAGTTTAACAAACTCCATGGGATATAAAATAGCATCCCAAATTATTCTTTCAGTCACATGGTTCTCCCTCTGAGAAGAATTCTGGTATATGGATTTAGCTCCATATTGTTACGCTTACAGTCCTATACCTAGGGCCCTATAATGGTTAGCTTCCTTTATAAAACTAATCACCAGGAGCTGACAAACTGGCCGTTAGCTTAGCCTGTATTTGTTGAAGATATCTGCCTGTGGGCAGTGGGTTATGTAGCTGTGTCGGCTTCTAGTGACACCTTATAACTAAAAAATATTCTAAGGTAGCCCAGAATGTTGAGCTGTGTCTTTTATTTCATTTTTTCTCTACCTCCTTTTTAGGGTTGCCAGATAAAATGCAATACAATATTATTCATTATTTATCTGAAATTAAAATTTGATCAAGAATACCATATTTTTATTTTCTAAATGGGACAACCCTGTTCCTCTCTAAATTTCAGTCTGACCCCCAGAATTGCCACAGAATTTTTGAAAGTGTATAAACATTTTAGATTTGTGATCAAAGACAGCGGAAGCGAAGAGATGGTCATCTTTTTAATTTGATGTTTTTCTGTGAAAAGTTGCAGAGGCTTACAGGCTCACCTCTAAAAATCCTATTTGAGAATATATTTCTCGTATGCTTTCAGCTTAGAAAAAGGGAAAATCAAGTTTAAATTGAAAAATGTAATCATTTTTCTGAGAGAAGGTATATCAGAATCTCTCCAACAATTACAGCAACAAACAAGAAGAATGAAATAATCTAAACATATAGAAGTATGTTATTTAAAAGGAAAATATCTACGTGATAATATGCAATTTTAAAATAAAGACTTTATGTGAGACTCCAATGTAATTATATGAGATTCCAATATGTGAAGTTTGAAACTTACTAAAAATAATTTCTTAGTATCTGTAAGGCTTATTTCATAAGCAGGCATCCAGGTCTGTCAATCTCAGTTTAAATTCTATCTCTGTTTTCCATTCACTTTGTGACCGTGCAAGTTACTTAATTTTCCGGGTCACAGTTTTGTAATTTCTAAAATAAAGGTAAGTAAATCACCTTACTCATAGAATTGTTGTTGGATATTAATGTGTGTAAAATGCTTCAAACATTGCCTGGCACAAGATATATAATCAATATGCATCAACCATTAGAATTATCATCATTATTACCTGCTTATAAAAAAAAGATAGGAACCAAAGAACTGTGAAAAAATGTGGAAAATGGTTAATAAGGAGTAGTAATAAATGTTTAGTATGTTTAGATACAGTATGGGATTTTCATGGTTTATACTATTATGCAGTGAGTCTATGAAATAAACTTGGGGAGTCAGGTGAAAAGCATTCCAATTATCTGGCAGCCTTCATAGGGTGTAGCTTTTGCATTGGGTGGCAATAAATTGATGGAAAGCCAAAAGAGTGTACTTTTCCATGTTAAAATTTTCATTTTTTTTATTGACTCAATTAAAAAAATATTTTTACTAAGGACTTGTTGAAATATCTTGACAGTTCAGCATAGTCTTTCAACTTTAATGTTATATTAATAGAAGTAGCTAAGTGTATAATATCAATACTTAAAAGTATTAATAGGAGATCAGGGAAGATGGCCGACTAGGAACGGCTCAGGATTGCAGCTCCCAGTGAAAGTGCAGAGGGTGAGTGGACGCTGCATTTCCACATGGATTTTTATTGCCCACAGACCAGGAGATTCGCAGGCAGAGAAGCCCCATGGGTTGCCAGCGTGGCTGTTTCGGCTGGCACAGCTGTTTTGGCCCGTGCGGCTGCTTTGCCCGCGCCCTGGCATGGTGGTTCTCCTTACAAAAGACACTGATCCAGGTGCCCTCTTAGCTGGCGATTGGAGCCCTAAGACGGCAGCATCGCCCATTCATCTGAAATAGCAAGCCAGGCAAGGAGATTCCTAGGCAAGAAAACCGCCAGGAATCTCAGTGCCGCTGTTTCAGCCAGCTCAGTGAGTCACTGCACGGGAATTCCCGGCACCTTTTCAACAGGGAGAGAGTCGACCGTTCAACAACAACAACAACAAAAAAGACTCTGAGTCAGGGAGCCAGATGACCAGGCTTGGCTGGTCCCAACCCCTCCCACAAAAAACAAACAAACAAACAAACAAAAAACAGTAATTGAAAACCCTCTGGGTTGAGAGTTTCACAGCAAGCACAGCTGAACCCGGGACAGTCAGGCTCTGTGGGGGAGAAGTGTCTGCCATTACTGAGACACTCCACCACTACGGTGGCAGTCTGACCATTGCTGAGGCAGCCCGCCGTTGCTGAGGCATCCCACCATTGCCGAGGCAACCCGCCACTACAGAGTGAGTCCGCCATAACAGAGGTGGGCCACCATTGCCAAGGCAGTTCTAACTACACCCATATAAACAGGACTGCAGGGAAGATCACGCTGCAGCTGGGCGGAGCCCACAGCAGCTCAGCAAAGCCTATGCAGGCAGACAGTGACTAGGCTGCCTCCTTGCTGGGCAGGGCAGCCCTGAGAGAGAAGAAAAAAAGGCAGCAGCACAACGGAAACTCATAAATACAGCTCTAACTCCCTGGGACAGAGCACCTGGGTTTAAAAAAAAAAAAAAGGGAGTTTATGAGTTCTGCTGCAGCAGACCTAAACATATCTGCCCAGCAACTCTGAATGAACAACAGAGCTCACAGCTCAGGACTTGAGCTCCAATAAAGGACAGACTGTCTCCTCAAGCAGCTCCCTGACCCCCATATATCCAAAAAGTCACCTCATAAAGGAGAGAACAGACTGACATTTGGCGGGCATCATACTGGGACAAAGATAGCAGAAAAGGAAATTGGTAGCAACCCTTACTGTTCTGCAACTGCTGCAGGTGATCCCCCGGCAAGCAGGGCCTGGAGTGGACCTCAGCAGTCCTACAGCAGAGGGGCCAGACTGTT